TCTTCTGCCCCCTGTTATCAGGTGTATCTGATTGTGTTCAATAGGATTTTGAGCAAAGTTTTTACCATTAAATTATGCAAAAGGTGTCAGACGCAAAACATTTCAGAAACAGTATGAATCAAACATGATACATTTGGCATTACAGGATTAACCTTAGGTTGAGGTAGAGCACCTTTTTACCTCTTTATTTTACATTAAAATCACATATATGTATGTAAATTATGTTAGCTTTTTATGTTTATTTTATTTTATTTTCTATTTTATTTCATTCTATTTTTTATTCTATTTTTATGTTTATTTTATTTTATTGTATATTTTATTTTAATTCTATTTTTATGTTTATTTTATTTTCTATTTGATTTTATTCTATTTTCTATTCTATTTTTTATTCTATTTTCTATTCTATTTTTTATTCTATTTTTATGTTCATTTTATTTTATTTTTTATTGTATTTTTAATTCTATTTTTTATGTTTATTTTATTATCATTTTAAACGTGCTCTATAGATAAGATTTGACTGGACTGGTTGCGTGTCTCTGTGCGCAGGCGGAGGCGGAGGTGGCCTCCCTGAACAGGCGCATCCAGCTGGTGGAGGAGGAGCTGGACCGGGCTCAGGAGCGGCTGGCCACCGCTCTGCAGAAGCTGGAGGAGGCCGAGAAGGCCGCGGACGAGAGCGAGAGGTGGGACGGAGGGGGATTAGCATCCGTCTAGCTAGCTAAGCTAACTAGCTAGTTAAGCTAACCCCATCAGACTACCAGCATGGGGGAAAACAGGGTCCGTATGAGCCTCCGGACCAATGGAAATGTTTGGTTTAAATCACTTTTCTTTCTTTTTTTTTATCAAAAATGTTTTTTTGAAGGATTTTGTTTAAAATATTTGGCAACACTTGCTAAACAGATAATTTATCAATGTTTAACCATCATTTATAAACAGAACATAGTCTATAATATATTATACACACATATAAATAATTTATAGATGCTAAACAGATCATTTATTAATGTTTAACCATCATTTATAAACAGAACACTATATATAATGTATATAGATGTAGATATATGTAGATAGATAGATAGATAGATAGATAGATAGATAGATAGATAGATAGATAGATAGATAGATAGATAGATAGATAGATAGATAGACAGATAGACAGATAGACAGATAGA